TGCGCTGCGTCAGTGCCGTAACGGTTCTGCTCTATGGGCTGAAATCGGTTGTTCTCGGAACAGGGCACAGGAACATCGACTGGACAGCGCACAAAAGCGCTGATTGCGCAGGTTACTAACGATCAAGTGATACGATCACGTAAGAAACGATCCAGTTTTGGCACTGGTAGACCTCACTAACGTGTCAAAAATGCTGAAAGACAGACTCCTGGCGTGGTTGAACCATTTGCAACGAAGCGATAGAGTCTTACTGGATCGTCAGCTGCTGAATGGCATTCCAAGCACGGAGAGCGAAAGATCAATGGCCAGCACATCAAGAGGCAGAGAAAACTAAACGGAGACATGCTGTCGATGAAGAATCCGTATTCGTCGTCGCACTTAATAACAAAACGCGATAAGTGAAGATGAGCCGACACCACAAGTCTTAAGAAACCTGCAGATCAGATAGGATGACGAAGATGACACCGTATCTAAGTTTGGCGAAGAGACACGTTTCAGAGTGTACGTACTTAGACGTACACAGATTGTGAGAACTGCCAAATTATATGCCATTTACATTGCAATGTTGGACCACTTTCCACAGATTGAGCATCGCCTATATGACAAATCGCGTACAAAGGCGAAGCAATTAATAGATTAAGGCCAAAAAAGCTGCCATCAATTTTAAAGCCGCCCATGAATCGTTGACGTTGCAATGATAAACCGGACATTTTTCGACGTCTTCTAAGTAAACCAGCCTAAGAGAACGACACTCTGAATACAAGTCATAAAGAAGGTAGAAAAGCAGTTAACCTCTACCTACAAAGCGCATAGTGCAGTACTACGCCTTTGAATCGTTAGGCCGAGGATGACGTTTCAGTTGGGTACAGAGTGCTTTCGATACTGGCACAGTGAGTACTAATATGTTGTACTATTAAATAGAGTAAAAATATAATAGCCTTAATAACACAATATAATTAACCTCGAAAACAGGTGCATTTGCTGAAACCAACCGAGGTTCTCCGCGTTCTGAAACAACATTTTTAGCCCCTAAACACATAAGGGTTTACTTTATTAAGTCAAGGCTGAACAGTACGGTATCTGATGTGATCCACTGACATCTAAATACAAGGAGAAGGATAAGGCAATATCGCTGAAAGCCAGGTAAGAACCATTAATTTTCGTACCAACCTTCATCAAAATTGGACAAGAATAGTAATGAATTAGCAGACAACAGACATCAGAATAAAGCTAGTACAATGGCATAATATAAAGTAGAAGTAATAATCAAAGTGCTAGACCGAGAGGGATGATGGATAATTAAGCAAGACAGGGCTGTAAGAAATACTGGTGAGGCCTTCCTCTAGCACCGGAATGAAGTTGCCTACTGGTTGGCGATCATGACAATCGAAACTATGAATACCGAAGAAGTGACTACGGCGATGAAGAAAGAATACGATGACTACAATATGGTTAAAGGAATTGAACTGAAAATAACGAAGATTATTATTAAGATGAAGACTATGAATATGAGAGATAGAGTAAACCAACGATAACGAAAAATTATGACGATCGTCAGCGAACAGGATGTATCGCGAATCCTTGATAACGAGGAAGAAATTTAAGAAGTCGATCATTCCTGGGGACATTGATCATCACGCGGTACACGATGAGAAAGATGATCGTATGAATGATGAAAGACGATAACAAAAATCATGCGAATGACAACGATAATGACAAGTAATACTTTAACGGATAATGAAAAATACGATTACGATATGGAAATGAAGCTTAGCAGGATGCTGGTTGTACCGTAATAGCGATTAAGAAAATGATGGTCAGGATGATGACAACGACGAAAAAGGTGATGATACAGGAAAAGAAGGGTGATACTGCTTATTATGATGCTGACGATTAAGATGATAATAAAGATGACAATGAGATTATACAAATCGAGACTGTGACAATAATGGCAACGACGTCGACGGTAAATAAAAAATCTGAAGGCGATTAAGATTATTATGCAGGCGCGAATATCATACGAAAGAAGGGGATGAAATTTTTTATGACGAATATCAAGGTGATAAGGTTAAAAGAAGCCTCTGTCTAATGATGGAAAGGGAAGTAGTGTGGAAAGAATTCTCAATGCTTATGCCATGTACAGTCTTGTACCGCTGGGAAAATAGTCAATACCAACAACGATTTGCGGTATCTCACATGCAACGTTTAATTCCATGAATTTGGATACGGTATGGTATGGGTTTTGTCATCGTTACCTAAGGTACCAGTGTCAAGGATAGAGCACCCAGATTAATAACGTCTTACCGTCCAAGCAGACAATACGGATCTTCTCCTTGCGGATGTTGATCGACTGAAAATAAGATTTCTTGGTGTTCAACGCGCTCAGGTCTGTGGAAATGCTACATCACTCATCGCACAAGTGTCACGTAACCGGCTCATGTGGCGGAGTGAAAGCGCTAGCCGACAGCTCGCGGCGGTGTACAACCGAACAAAGATGCTGAATTGTACTATAGGATAACTACAACATGTGGTACTCTCGATTCCTTCTGCGTCTCTAAGCTCATGCGTACCGACGTACAGATTCGGTGAGGCTTCATAGTAACCTGAGAGGCCTCCTTTACAGCTAAAACTAAACTGTCAAAGCTACCGTCTAGAGACATCGGAGCATTGGTTCTCAAGAAAAAACTGAATTTATGTGGTGGAATAATGCAAACTATACAAATAGCGAAACAGACCGAAAATCAGGAAAAGTTAACAACTGTTAGTAAGCAGAAGGTTTAGAAAATAACACTCACTTCTGCACTCGACCCGTGGGTCACCCCAGTAGTAGTTCTCACATTCGCCACAGGTACGTCCCCCACGGCCTTCTTTACACCTGCACTGTCCGTCAAACTCGTTACACTGCAGGAATGGAACGCCGTTGGCCAGCGACACGACGCCCTGCGGGTCGCACTCACAGTCGAAACAGCCGGTGCCGCTGGCTATTTTCCAATGGTTCGGAATGCACGTGTCGCATTCGAGTCCGGTGACGTTCGGCAGACATGGGCACTGACCGGTGAAACGGTCGCAAGGTCCGACGCTGATGTTTGTTCCGAGTACGTTGCATACGCACCTATACACAACACGACATAAAACGCTGAAAAAAAATCGACACCTCGTGCACCACGCTTACATTTTGCACGATTGAGTCTTCGCCTCGCCGAAGAAGCCGGGCAGACAGTTCTCGCAGGAGAAACCCTCGGTGTTGTAAAGGCACTTTAGACACTTGCCAGTTTTCTGGTCGCACGAAGCGGGCTCAGTAAAATCGATGTTGCCACTGCAGTCGCACTGGGCGCAGGTACCGCCAACTTCTGTCGGATTGCCCCAGTAGTTCATCGCACAACGGTCGCACCGCTCTCCTATAAAAAGTAGAGATATGCCTTAGAACTGAGAACAATTAATTAGCTAACATTTGTGACCACGTTTGAAAGCTCTGCTATACTGGTACAGTGTCATTGAGCATGCTATGATCATTAAAGCTTGCCTTCCAACGGCTACTTTGATACATCTTCCATGACACATTACAATCATAAGTCTGCAGTCCATCTGGGCTCAGTAACTGCACAGGGTTCCGATCTGACCATTTAGATAGCTGAATTCACATTGTAGTAAACTACCTCTGACCATAGAAGGATGCCTTGCAGCCTTAAAGGAGGTATAAATTTCTAAAAATGCTGGTGATGTAGATTTTCTCGATTCCCTGTTTCGTTAAAAAGACAAGAGCTGCTATTTCCAACCTTGGTTCTAGTCACAGATGATGGAAAATCACAAAAGCGGGGATATTGGACATTATGCAAAAGCGAAAGTTGGCATGATGCGCAAAGAAGATATACGAAGTCCACAACGAATGATATAATCGTTATTCAAACAATGAACTATCATAGTACGCCTGTTAGTTACGTGTACCTAAAACGATACCCTGATTAAAAATCCTGGAAACGAACTGTTGGTGACCTTCAACATTATTCCACTAACGTACTAATTTGTTCTAATTACCGTTCAACCGGACCATCACGAAACCCGGCTGGGTAAAGTTACACTAACTATACGTTTTCAACGTTCAAAAAGCCACCTTCAATGCTGCTGATAAAACATATGAGCTCATCGGCTATTTAAGTATGATCAGTAAGGAGCAAAGTAAAGACCAGTCAGCACAAATGATATGAAATACACGTATGTACCGCAGGTGTTCAAAGACTATGCTACCGCCGCATACGTAAAGGAAATGTGCAAGAGAAAAGTTGGTAACCACTGATGTCGTTGACCTTGACACTTCCATGATTTGACGTCATAAATACCACTCTTCTTTCATGTCATCAACCAGGCGTGTTTTTTTTCTTATAAGGCTACATCTACAGCCTGGCGACCACTGGTGCATAGTCCCACTTTTCGTTCCCTTGAACTGGAACGTATTTACCTGTGTTGGATAGATGAAATGCGACTGACCCGAGACCGAGGCAAGAACATATGATCCTCCGACAATGAGTCCGACACTATATGAACCGTGCAAAATTGATCAGAGAAACGGAGCGCAAATATATTTGATGAAACCGGTTTTGGTGAAGTTATACATTTATAGACACGCACATGCATCGCCCTATGTTTTTTGATATTTCGCGAATGCGTAACATTATAGGTGGTGATCACTACGCAAAAAAGATGACTAGGAACGCATTGCAGCAGCTAAAACTCCAGAAAGTCGTAGACCAACGTCCCAATGCTTAAACGATCTGCTACGCGATTCGCAGAAAGAGGGCAGGCGCGATTCACCATAAGGTCGCGCAAACTGCTCTTGCTATAAGTTCTTATCATAAAACCTTTCCATTACGTCGTCAATCCAATGCATACAGATGAAACTGACCCTGACTTACGTACATTCACTCTTATTATGCAAATCATCTTCAAAAGGGCTCTTGAAAAACTTTTGTTAACGCGTTCGCATCACTTAAAAGCGGTCACCTGCAAGGTAGTCAGATCATACAGTGTAAGTGTACGCCTGTCTCAGTCCCGCGCTGTCTACTGTTGAACACGGAGGTGCTGTGCATTAGTATCCATATAGTTTAATAACTTTCAGCATTTGCATGAGTACAGTCATGAATGAAAAAAGGAGTAGAAGTATAAAAAGTGACCCATGGCTCAACGTATCAAAATTGATCTAGAAATTAAACCAAAAATCATAAAAAAATATAAATGCTGACAACGCTTAACGGCCACAAGACGTGATCATGGTCTTGCATCATCAAGAGTGACTACAAAAGTAAAGTATGTTGTTCGTACAGAGAAGCGCATGAAAGAACCTGCCTCTTTACGGTCAAAAGTAATAGCAAAAGAGCTTTATGATGCTACCTATGACATGGAAAAATTTTTAACTATGTGGACGGGAGACCAAATCTATAAGCGCGTTTCCCTAAGTTTCATGATGATTCTCACGAAGGCCAAAGTTTTTCGAAGACATAAAATCAAAATCAATATCCGGACGGTTCTTAATCCTTCAGCCTGTTAATCGAGCAACCCATGAAAAGAATAGGCCACAGTTGAATAAGTTGTTGCTAATTTGGTAAGCAAGGTCAAACGAAGAAATATAACGTTTATTTTATTTTTATTTTCTCATACAATTTATTATACCGTATTGTATCACTTTGCATTGATAATGATATACTGAAATGTAATTTGTATGTAGCAGCTTGTGAAGGAAACCAACAGAAATAACCTTTAAAGCAAGGCATTGTACAACTGTATACACAAGCTGTAAACACTGATTAACTGGAAGGCTGGGTTAAATCCGACTTATGTAAAATTCAATGTTACATCAAGGTTTGCGGAACGCAACTTTTACGTAAGTTCGGATCTGCTGAATTTCTCTAAGTAAAAGAACGAAACATCGATGGATACAGCGCATGCGCCAAAAGACCAGGGAGCCGTGCATACATGTCCTAACACCCGAATGATCTATTAGGCGATTAGGAGAAAGAGACAAGATGCGACGACTGGATATTTCACTGGGTGAACTGCTGGAGGTAGTGGTACTAACCATAAAAGGTCTTCATTACGTCGTCTATCCAATGCACCGAGATCAGATGACGGGGTTAGTACAAAAAAGGCTATCAAAAACGAAATACCTTCGTATCCATGGCGGCAATTACAGAATACGTTTTGCGTGGAGGGATCCAAGTAGCAGGTGTCGGCGTGCTGAAATCCGGAGCCGGGTCCGCCAGGGCAAGAACACGGACGACAGGGCAGATTCGAGCCGAGGCGCGGGTCGCCGTAGTAGCCGTTCTGACATCTAAGAGGAAGAAAGTGAGGTTTGGTAAAAATGACCGCCGGCGTTCGGTTCCTTGATCCCATTTACCGGTCGCACTGGTCGCCCGTGCTCAGATCGCGGCAGTCGATGCAGACGCCAGTACTCTGCTCGCATATGTCCGCGTGACCGTTGCAGATACACGGACGACAGTTCGGGAAGCCCCAGTAGCCCGGTTGACACTGATCGCACTGCCGACCGTAGACACCGTCGCGACATACGCACTGTCCGGTGTTCAGGTGACAGAAGTTGTGCAGCGAGCCAACGTTGTTGCAGTCGCAGGCTGAAAAGGTGACAAGAGTAAAATCAGGTAGAAGAAAACATAAATAAAAAACAAATAAAGTTCACACCTGTACAACCCTGTGGTCCAAATCCGTAGGTACCCGGGGAGCACCGATCGCACTGGTGACCAACGACGTTCTGCTTGCACTGACACTGACCGCCAAGTACGTTGCAGATGCCGCTCAGTGAGCCGGTAGGGTCACAGTTGCACTCCACTCCGCGGTCGATGATCGACGCCGCTACCGGACAGAGGTACCTGCGACACGGCTCTGGTACCTCCTCTAACGGCGTCAGCTGCAGCACAGATCGCTCGCACTGGTAGTGCTCGAACTCCCGCAGTTTGTAATGTGACCAATCGTCCTTGCCGGCGAACAGCGGCAACTTCGATACGACGGGCATCAGGACCAGCTAAAGAAAACCGGATAAAGAGAAAACCGCTTAAACAGATCATGCAATGCACCCTACCGAATCGATCAGCAAAGAAACGCTCCGATCCGGAAATCCTCGTTGATATTCATCGAAAACTACCTGCACATGGTACTGTACGTCCGGTTCAAGACACACCTCCTCGACCGATTCAAAGTAACGTTCGCCTAAAGCAATAACGTGTCAATACCCGCTGTTTCGCACTCCATTCCATCCTCTCCTGACCTGGCAGCAGCATGACCTGCAGGAGATCATCTTTAGGAATTGTGTTGTGACACGGCCCGGAGGCGCTGGGTGAGTCCGGACGAATGATGTTGATCTTGACGTTTTGCCATGCGGCGGCTAAATGCGACTCGAAGCGCAGTACCACGTGAAAATTCATCGCCACGTTAATGTTGTCCACAACGAAGTCCAGAGTCGACTTTTCACGAACACGGACCATGCCTGAACCGGTCCAATGTTGACGCCCGTCGCTGTACGGCTCTCGCAGTTCCGTTTCAGCAGGCTAAATGAAGACGGGCGTCATACCAAATGGCGTCGTAATATGAGTACGACTTTCGTCAACACGATACCAGTGTTGAATAATAAAGTATAAAACTACGGATCCCGTATCAGCTGCAAATATGACAACCTTCCGCCTTGACAAAGATGACAAACCGGGTTTTTATTGCAACTGCGCTTGAAAGTGAAATGACTGTAAAAGATAAATGAAGAAATACGTAGCATTTCTGATGTTTAGGTTCATGCTGATTTGGTGTCAAGAGAAGAAGTACTGCCAGCATTGGGAAATCATCTGACTGCATGGTCAGGGGTAGGCCACGTTTAATCAAACTTTATTTTGCCACTCCATTTTGGCCAACGATCGACAGACACATATCGCATATGACGATAAAGCTCTATGCTACTGTAACATAATGCCTCAAGATTGAGTGCTTTGTATTTTGTTCGTGCGTTATGAATCATACTGAAAAACCAGCACAATTAACGACTTATGAAGCGATGCAACGTAGCGGTTACCACCAAATATTACGTTGCGTAATCAACCCGTTGCCGTGCTGTTTTTTCAGCATTACAACCTTTATAACGTTAATGTATAACTACCATATCAGGAATAACTTTAATTTTACTATACAGCGACTGGACTCAATGAAATGCGTGGCACTTACAGCAGTTCGATGCTGTTGTACTATCAGGTTGACGGTCGACTATAACGTTTGCCGTCAACTTCCGCTAACTCAGAGCATATCATGCTCGAAATACCGATCTCTAAATTAATGTTAATGTCCTTTAATAATACTGGTACTTTCAACCATGGAATTGGAAGCTCGAATCATCCGCAAATAGTAGGATAGAGTGCAATGTAATATTAGCAACAATGCAACTCCTAATACTGTGTAATATACCACAATACAGTACACATATTTTTATACAGAGCAGATGCCAGTCCGTGGCATATTACGCGATACCACTATTAACACGTACTACTAATAAAGTATAAATGCAAACACAGTACAGGAGCACACATAAACCAATGACTTTACTGGTACCACCGCATTTACTGGCATTTTGTGCATAAACGTACTGTGATGCAACGCTTCGTAGCGCAATAGCAAATGCAGCGAACGAGACTACAATACGCAATACAAGTGTTAACAGAGCTACATAGTAGCAATACATGTAAATTGTGTAGAATTACATTTTGCTGCTGCACTGCATTAGTATTGTGCTAGGTTACTAGTACGTATGTTGTTACCACAAGTCTGTGACAACGTGCAACCATATAGTGTGCCACGCTCTAGCACATGTATCCTAGCACATCGCAGCACATGATACTTTATACACAGCACACTTCTAGAACAGAAAAGTACCACTACATACATGTACTGGTACTAAACATTACTAATGACCGTTTGAGTGCACTACAGCATGATACTTGTATCGCACAGTAGCAACTGCAGTCATGGTAACTGATGCTACTGTTACTGAATACTGCTACTACATGACACCCACCCAAAATCTAAGTCAATGAACGTAATCTAAATTTGGCATTTTTTTAAGCTTAGCGTACGAGCAAATAAAGTCAGTGGATTTACAGTCCGGGAAAGTTTTTAATTCAAAATTACGCAGCTTTAGGTGTTTCGTTTTAAATGAACAATAATAGTGCCCGTGCAAATAATAATTTGCTTTGAACAATAAATATCGCTTCGGGTTTGGAAGGTTCCGGTAACATCCAGGCTACTCCATACTACTACTTTCAGGCTTTAAACCGTATTTGCTGCTACTTCCATTCGCGAGATGAAAACCGATCGGTAGTGCGGAGGCGAAATCGTCGCAAAAGAAGAAGTGACTGTGTCCGAGTTCATCAACGAAAACTCCAAGCGGGCCAAGTCTCACAGAACCGTCACCTAGGACACTGTTCGGCCAAGATGAATGGGAAACAAACAAACGTTCCGTTTTACTCAAACACTTGACAAGCAAGAACAGAGCCGAAACCATTCACCAATGTCGAAAGCACAAGCAAAATAGTCCTCAATCCAGTTTCAGCTCGAATCAGATTATATCGGCATAAATCTCAAAATGACAGATAACGGGTGGACTTCAGCAGTCACGGATTTGCACCCAAGGGTCGGCAAGCGCCCAACTGAAAGACCTCGTCTCAGATGGGACGATGAGCTAGAACAAATTTTCGCATGAGAGAGGCGAGCGCGGGCATCGACATGAGGCAGTACTGATGGCCAAAAATCCCGAACAGTGATCAATCAATGATTGATGCTTAATTTTTCAGCTGTCAATTAGATTCTGAATGTCATCGTTTCACACTGAAGGTAGACTCTGAACTTCAAACTTCGCCGCAGTACAGAGAAGAAAAAATAGTTTACCCCTTCTATTTTTGCGTTTTCCGCCTCGTACGTGTAAAAGTCGAGGTTTGCACAGAAGTAGCCGGACTCGGGCTGGTCGCAGCGCCTGCCGGTGAAATGCCGCCTGCATCTGCACTGACCGTTCAACACGTCGCAGTTGTTGTCATAGGCACCGCCCAGGTCGCAGTCGCACGCTTTGCATCCGTCAACGCTGTCGTCCAGGCCCCAGTGTTCATCCTGCGTTTCGAAAAGAAAACACGAAGAGTAAGCAAGAGAGGCGCTAAAATGGCACGGTATTAAGTCGCTCACCAAACAGCGGTTGCAGTTCTCCCCGGTCACCAGTCGTTTGCACGTGCACTCGCCGGTCTGCTTGTTGCATCCCTCGTTGCCAACGGTACCCAACAGATGACAAGTACATTCTGAAAGCAGTTTGTGACAAGAATACCATCGAACATACGAAGCCACGGCACAGCTTCGTCTTTCTTCACTTACGCTGACAGCCTTCCGGATTGTCCTGCTTCAGGTTCCAGTAACCGTTTTCGCACTGACCGCAATTCTCACCAATCACATGCGCCTTGCAGCTACAACGTCCGGATACCAAGTTTCGTTCGGGCACGGTTTCGCCGTCGCAAATGCCCTCGT